AATGAGTTATTCACTACAACCTGCAACCAAGATATCAAGTCAGTGTAGTCAGCAGTATGACAGGATTTAAATGAACTAAATGCAGACCTGCTGACTTGTCACTGGATCCCACTATAAAGATTTTTGCTCTAGAGGCTTGAAGTCAAATACAGTAATAGGCTATCTATAGAGCCCATTATTAATTGGCTGGCAAGAAAGACACAGTTCCTGGAATGACAACACAACTTTGGTAAATACAAAATTACTACTGGGAGAAGATACAGGAGTAATTCTATTTTTGCTGTGGTGTTGCTGTCCATCACAGGAATAAAGGCAGATGAAAGTCTGTACAGTACATTATGAGCTATATTCTTAGACCACTTAGGCAGCAAAACTGTGATTTCCTCCTCTAAGACCTGTAACTAAAATGAGTAAGACAGTAAAAAATAGAAATCAGAAGCAAAAAAGGAAAATCTGAGCTTTAAACGAGACAAAGGAAATGTTCTTTGAGATCAAGGAAATCAAAGTGGTGCCAGTAGAACCCAGAGCTGTAATCCGCTCACAGAAAAACAGTGAAAATCAGACAGAAGATTCAAATACTAGAGTTCAAGAGGCCACAGAGAACAGTAGCATTGCAAGGGCAACACATTGTTTAATCACTGTGAAATTCCAGATGACAGCACTGAAAGACAGAAAGAGGGAGGGAGGGAGGCATCAGTGCCTGAAAAAGAAAATCTGAAGAACATAGGCAAAAAAAAACCTACACAAAAACAAAATACTGCCAAGAGTCAGCCTCTCTTACCAGCAAGAAGCAGTGAAAGCTTGAGTGACAAAGGAAAACCAGAATCAAGAGATTCCAGGGTTCACTGGGGGGAAATTGCAATGACCAAGGAACTGCTTCTTAATGGTATATTTTAATTATTAATATTATTCAATGAAGACCATTACAGCTTAGAACTCTGCTTAGCCTGACAGTTTCCACTGTGACATCTGCCTTACGGTTTAGCAAGGAAAACCAAAATATCTGCAAGAGTTACAAAACACTTCACCTGAAAATACACAAGTACTTCTCCAGAAAGAATACCAAACTTTACTCAGCAGATACCGTTGTCCAGTTAGCAATAAAGGACAGCTCTGCATGCCACTTAAAGTAAGTTTTATCCTTGGAACACAGATTCAACCTCTTACTGGATATTACAGACAGTCTTCTTGGAGTCAAACATTACAAGCTGTGAAAAACACAAATATAAAGGAAAGCACTGAGTTTAACAAAACAGCATTAAGTGCTGGATGAACTGAGAAAACAATGTCTGCCTCAAATTTTAATTGACAGTCAAGCAAGTGTAGGCTCAAGTTTTCTAACCATTCTGGCCATGAAAACACAAAATTCATGGTATGACAAACTAATTTATCATAGAATAGTTTGGATTGGAAAGGACCTTAAGATCATTCACTTCCAACCCCTCTGTCATGGACAGGGACACCTCACACTAAACCACATCACCCAAGGCTCTGTCCAACCTGGCCTTGAACACCACTAGGGATGGAGCATTTACAACTTCCTTGGGCACCCCATTCCAGGGCCTCACCACCCTTACAGAAAATAACTTCAATCTAAACTTCCCCTGTTTAAGTTTTAATCTGTTACCCCTTGTCCTGTCACTACAGTCCCTAACGAAGCATCCCTCCTCAGCATCCTTACAAGCCCCCTAACAACACACACTGGCATAGCTTTTTCTCCAGTATAAAACTGTGGTTATCTACAAGGTCTCCAAGCATCCTAGGTGGAGCTGAATAACATTCCAGCAGCTCGGAATACATGCAAGAGTAAGGTGAAACATGACATCTGAAAAAAAAAAACCTGATTAGGTAACTAGCTGGATCTCCGGAAAATGTATTAGTTATGAACAAGCATTGTTAACTCACAAGATGTTTACAAGATCTTACCAAAGCTAAGAAAACAATTGTTTTTACACTATAGGCAGTCAGCCACTGCCTTGCCTGCAAGTACTTTCTCCTTTTTCAAGAAACAGTGAATTTTCTGGTCTTTCAGAAACGAGGACTGTGACTGTGCAGTTATACTTCCCTAAAGCAGCAAACCAACAGTTTTCGACACACTAGGATTCATATTAGGGTATTTGTGCAGTGGCAGCGGTTATGATTGATGATATGTAAAGATCTGGTCTGTTGCAAAGAGGATGTAACACAAACCACAAAGGAACTACACACTTGAGCCTGTATTTGGTACCACATAATAAAGACCATACATTGGTGATCTTGAGTATTTTCAGCCAATCTTTTTATTCTGGCAGAATTTCACAACTTTCCTTTGCAGAAATATTCTGCCTTTGAAAGATAACGTATCTAGCAACAGCCTACAACAAAGTATCTACAAATCTCTGGTTGCACACCATGGCCGCCTTCCCTTGCCAACATTACAGATCTAAACACAAAATTATTAAAGCCTTCTTGAATCTGCTCACATCACTATTTATTCCACATGCTGTGAGACTGAACGATTCACAGCATTTCCAAACATGTAATGCTGAAATGTGGAGTACTATTATTACTTGAATTCACTGCTATTATTAGGTACCTCTGAAAAGATACGCTTGTTTACATCACTTTCAATTGATCATGTTAAAATACATAGCATGGTTAGAATGCATGGTTTGGGTTTTGCAAAGGTGGAGAGGAGCAACAGCATTACAGTTGTTTCCTTAAATTGCTTATGTGATGTACAAAATAAAAGAACTGGGGAGGGGGGTAAGCAGCTGATTTCTCAACATTTAAATTGAAGACATAGTCCCTTAATTGTATTTCTAGGTATTCTAACTGGACTACAGTCATTTAGTATGATAGTATAGTCTGTATTCCTATGTCCTTGCATACAGGCATTTTAATCTACTAACTTTCCCTTATGAATCTGGAATAATTATAGCCTCTACTTAAAAACAAGTAAAAATGTAAAGCTCACAGAATGTACTAGCAAGGCCCTGTATGGTGATAAATAAGAGAGTTACGACAGTCCCATAGAAAATAAAATACTAATATCTAAAATAATATCATCCAACGAAGCCTCTTTTCACCACATCTCGATTGTTGTCATCAAACAAGTCTTGTGCAGAATCTACCACACACTGCAGGACACAGGAAGACTCAACAGGTTGAGTCTGCTACATCGTATTACATTTTTTTAAACAGAAGTTTAAATAAAGACAAAATCTACCCAGTAGGGTCATTGGCTACATATAAATAAGGCCATTACTTCCTGAATATTCTGCATAAATGCACAGCTATATCCTTTTTTTCTTTAAATAATTGCTAGCTAGGACTTAATATTTCATTTTTATCTCTTGGGAATGATTAGTAAAGCCTCTTGAGCCATGATTTCGTACTTTTAGAATAGATAAAATAGTCACAGTAGACTGATACACGAGCCTAGCACCCCTCTCAAACACACAAGCAAACTTCTAGACCACCTTCTGGGAAAGACAACTTTCTCTGTAAGTGCCAAATGGAAGCTACAGAGTACTTCTAGTGATAAGAAGTTTAATTGTGTTGATTTCTATTCATAAAGAAGGGCTTTTAGCGCACTACATAATGACAAGAAAAACTACTACAGAAGGAATGCAACTTATTTAAATGTCTTGAAGAGCTCTAGCATATGCATGATGCAGCCTAAGCGGATTCTATCAAAGCAAGTGTTTGAAGTGTTTACCATTTCTGTTCACACTAAGTACATGCACCTCCAGACAGCATTATTTTCACACACTCACAAGGTAGCTGAGCTTGGACAGCATCTCTACAGACTGCTTAGTCTAATCCCTCAGCCCAGAGCAGTGTTACCAAGAGCAGATTGATAAGGACCACATCCAGCTGCATTTTGAGTATTTCCAAGAATGGAGAAATACAAGCTACACGAGCTCTGAATACACTGTGTTCCACTTATTGACCACCCTTGCAAAATGAGGGGGGGTTTATTGCATTTAAATAGAATTTTCTGTATTTCAGTTTGTGACCATTTCCCTACAGTGACCACCACTGCGAAGAGCCTGGCTCCATCTTCTCCATTTCCCCCCTTCAGGTATTTATACACACTGAAAAGATTTGCCCTGAGCCCTCTCTTCTTGAGAAATCCCAGCTCTCTTGGCTTTTCCTTGAACAACAGAGGCTCCAGTCCCTCAGTCGTTGTTGTGGTCTTTTGCTGGACTTATTCCATTATGTCCATGCATTTCTGGCACTAGGTAGACCTCAACTGGACACAGTACTACAGATGTGGTTTCATCAGCGCTGCCCTAAATCTAAAATCACCAAACTTTAAATTTTACTTTATCTGAAAATTCTTCATCCCTTCTCATATTTCTGTTGTTAAGAGATAAAAACAACACAACCTTACCATTTTTCAACAACTCAAGTGTTTAGAAAACTGGTTTTTACCTTCTAAAAACATAAAAAAGCAAATTTTATCCTAATCTTTTGAAATAAAACAACTAATAGAAGAGTGGACAAACGAGCCAGCCATCTACAGAGCCTCCAAGGGTAAAAGGAGGATTTAACCACACCACTAAACCAGAATAATAAAGTCACATTTCTCTAATTTGGTCAATTATAGCAGTTACTGTTTAGAGACACCTAATAAAGTATCAGACCAACTACTTTTACTGGAGCTTAATAAGGAATTCTTCATAAAAGAGGCAGAAACAACACAAAGCGTATACAAATCAGAAGTGAGACTAAAAACGGTCATGAGATTGACTTAGTCATGACATTTTATTAGAAATACTGGGAGGTGACTTTTGGCTTTCAGGATTCATGTTTTCAAATTTGTAGCATCAAGGAAGGCTGTAAACTTAAGTTAAAAATTAGATGTTCTTACAGTCGCATATTCTGAGAGCTGAAGCTTTAAGAAAAAACAACAAACACAGGTATCTCAAAACTCATAAGTTAGACACATTGGAAAACTTAGTATGATACATGGAAGAAAGGCCAATATGCAATAGCAATAGTTTTAAACTTACATTTGAGTGTTTCTCCAGCATAAGGGATATGCAGCTTAAATCGATCGCAGCTAGGTCCAGGGGTCAAGGATGTACAGCTAAAAACAAAGATAAGAAAAGAATGTGCTAAGCAGTTACAGATGGTGGCAAATGCTGACATTATTCTACGGGGTAAAAACGACTGACATAATAAAGATGTTGAGAATACTAGAAATACTCATCCCTAGCATTCTAGAAAAGAAGAAAAGACGGGAAAGATGCAGGAGGCCCATTCTCTTTTCACCAGCAGTTCTCATAATAGCATAAGAAACTTTAGGATCTGTGTCAACTATCTTTTTCTTTTTTTTTTTTACATTTTAACACAGAAAATATATACACAATTGGTTCAAGAGTTATTAGAATCATGTCTGACTCTATATGAATTAGTCAAAGCCACCAAATTCTCTACTTTGCATACAGTTTTGCAGGTCACAACTCTCTGTGCCACAGTACCATGGTTACATGCCCTCTATCCCTGCCGTCCAGATGAATCTTAGCCTTAATACACAGTGTTCAGTCACTTTTACCTACACTAAGCTTTAATTGTTCCCTTGTGGAAAAGTCTCACAATAACTCTCCAGGTGAGCAAGTTTCAGAATCAGGTATTTGAGGCTGTGACAACTGAGCATGAATGTTCATGATCTGTGATCATTGCATAACTCCTGTTTATCCAGAGCATCACAACAGCAGTTGGGTCTTACACTGATGAGCAAGTACTTTATGAACACAAAAGTCACTGAAAAACTGTTTAGTATGTAGGTCAGAAATGATTAGCTTTTTCACAACCTTTTAAGTCATGTGCCAAAACCTTTGCATAACAAAGAACCAAAGATTTCAGCTGCAAAAGGAGAAACAGCAACACAAATTGTTTCACCTGGAGCTGTCACCACTATGGCTTGCAGGCAGGATAGGTCCCAGCAGCAAAAATACTGGAAGCCCTCAGCAGTACATTGCTATCCATATCCAAGGATCCCGATAACCCAGAAGTCTTCTTGCTAGCCTTATATCTTTATAGCCCCAGCACCAGAGCTAGGCTTGTTGCAAGCCACTTAAAGCTCAAAGCTATACTGGTCAACTATGGACTAAAGAGTGGAAACAAGGTAGACATAGGTTAAATAACTTGACTAAGCTTATATTTGGATCACTGATAGAGCTCTAATACAAACCACTGACAATATAATGAAAGGAGATAGGTTTACTGGGCCATACACATACTAAAGGATAAAAGATGAGCAAGCGAGAAAGTAAAATCTTTCATCCTACCTTATCAGACAGAAACACAACTCCTGCAGCTCTGCTTTAACTCAGAAGAGGCATCACTGTAAACAGGGCAATGCTGATTCTCATCAGCATACTCTAAATGCTTTAGAGGGCCATTTTTCTCAGACACTGGCTCTACACTCTCTTCTCTTTACACTTGCAAGTTAAGGAAACCACATGCAGAAAATTTGAGACTGTTTTTATTCAGTGAGCTACATTTACTATTTAACCAGATTTCTGCCCACATACAGTTTCATCAAAAAGAAGCAACCACAGAACTCTGATCAATTAACTTTAATGAAGTGTCGACAAAAATACTAGAAAACATAAGCAAACCAGTTATGCACACCTAGAATCTAACACAGATGCAATTAACAGCCTACACTGATTCAATAATCCACTACATTTCTTTCAGTATCATTACAGAAATTAGGACACTGTCCTTGCAAATAAAAGGGAAGCAACAATGTCCTACCTTCACTTCAGAAAGGTCTTGTGAGAGCACCATGCAAATGATTTACAGAAACAGTATACATACAACTAGTATCAGATGTGTGCAGAGCTGACTGGAAAGCAAGTTTCAAAACAGATTAGTTCACATCTTGTTCCATCTAGGAAGAAGGAACTCACTAGAGGTTTTCTTCTGGTATAATACTACTTCACATTTCATTGAAAGACTGATGATGGGAAAGAGATGATGTTTATAAAACAGGCCAACAATGCTACACAAAACAGAATGCAGCATGCTGGACAACAGGACCGGAGCTGGAAAATGTATAGACTTAATAGTCTGAATTATTTCTTTATGAATTACATCTAGGTAAGGCTTAGACAGAATAGTAAATCACCACCATTATCACTGGGAGCAACATCAGTTTGAGAGTATGAAAGACTGAAGCTTCAGTGCAACAGAAGCAACAAAAGAATATCATTTTTTCAAAGATGCTTTTTTTTATAGTAGGTGAGAGCAGCAAAACAGGAGTGCCCATCAGTATGGTGCTTTAATGGCTGTCGATTAATTTAACAGCTATAGATATGAAAGTATTACCTAATTTCAAGTCCTTTCTAAGGCTTACATCATGTATAAGGGCAAGTCTAGGAGGCATACAAAAAAAAAGCGAAACAAAAAACTCCTTTGCAGGTTCAAAAGTATCTCTGCAACGTCCGTTAATATTTAATGGAAGATTCTTTCAAGGTATCGTAGGTCACAGCCTGAGACGCATTTCTCAAATACCATCAAAATAACTTTGTTGTTAGCTTTTCAGCAGACAAAAACACTTTCTGATCCTGCAAATACCCTACAGTTTTTACTTTTAGTACAGTGGGCCATTTGGAAATACTTAGGGAAAGTAGAATATTCTATAACATTAAAATAAAAGCCTGATTTAATGGCAAATGTCCCTAAAAGCAATACTAAGTACTTTACCTAGATTACTGAACTCCACTAGAGATGTTTTTAATTTTACTGGTACAGAAGTGATAGAAAGTGACAGTATTCACAGTCTTTCCTTCGTTCTTTCCCAGATTACTCTGGCTAGGCTCTGCAAGAGGCTTCAATAACTGTGACAGGCTGAGCAACCAAGCACAAACCTTACATGCATCCATTTGAAAGGAGGCAGCTACATTTTAGTATAAACAGCAAAAGAACGAAGCTTCTAAGGCAAATAAAAACTATGGTATATCTAGTAATCTATATGTGACCTTATTTCAACAGACAGCCACAGATAACAGCCTGGCTATGGACATCTGCTTGAACTGCCTTAATACACAGAACCTCTTATAATTACAAACGTGTCCAACCCAGAAGCATGACGTCTCTCTCCTTCAAAGTATAAGATTTTACATTTGCTGATCCTTTTAACTAATGTGGTCCACAAAAAAGTCACGCTGAAAAGGAATTACTTTTAACAAGGTCTGTTAAAGATTATCTGCTGTTCTGTTTTCACAGGAAATTGACAGAACAGTAATACCTCATGTTGAATATTAATTGCAGAAGCTGACTATCTCATGATAAATGATGTGCTATCTCTCTCTTCATTCACAGACAAATATTACACTAGTTTGCATATCTTCATCTAAATAGTCAACATTTTACATAGGAAAGCCATGGAAGCAAGAATTAACACTCTGATGCTCAGAGCAGTGATAGGCATTAATCTTTGTAACATGATTAATGCCATACCACAAGATCTCCCACAATGGTTTCCCTATTAAAATATCAAAGAATTATTCACTTGACAAGTTTCCAGGATGAAGGAATATCCTTGATGGTATTGCTTAAAACCATACTGCCTTGTTCAGGAGTTGTACTGAGACCTACATTTGAAATCTAGTCGATGAAACTGAGTATGCAAGAAACCATAGCTGAATATAAACTCTTCCCTTTCTCAGCAGATGTTAGCTAAATTCCTTGAGCAAATACAGCAGATTAAGCTAGCTGAGATACATTACATTCTTATGAAATATGTATTCCAAGTAGAATCAAAGTGGAACATTCCTTCATTCAGTGTTTGATGCATCTTACAGTTGGAATTGTCTGTGACCTGTTGGGAAAGGTTTCCTTCACAGTAAATAAACCACACATAAATTAAATGAGTTCTTATTCAAATAAAAGGTCATCGTTAGCACCAGATGCTTGGTTAGAAATGTTCAGAATTCTTCCGCAGCCACAAAAGGAAACATGACAGATTATCCAAGAGGGAGATAAATAAATAAATAACTAAATATATAGATGTGTCAGGAAAGTTACTCAGTTTTGCTGCTTGGAATAAGGCATCAGCCTATAACAATAGTTGTGGCAGAAGGCATTTTTTTGCAGAATCAATCCTTCTTCCCAGAGTATTCAAAAAGCCTCTGGAAAAGCAGCTGTAGGTAAGCTTAACATCATGGGTTTCTCTTTTACCAATGCATTTATAATTGACAATTCTCTTAAATTAACTCTTCTTCTGTTTTGCTTAAGTTAAAAACCAACCAAGCAAAAAACCTTTCCCTTCTGAGCCACTTTGATATTTGACAGCAGGACTGCGATATTTGACAATAAGGGGGACTGTGGTAGATTTCAATATGGTCTTCCTATCAACCAGCCATCTACAACCACCACTTGAAAGTATTTCCAAGACAAGCAGCCTTAAATTATTTGGGCTCTGCTAAGATCTTAGCAAAAAATAAGTTCTGTGCCAGCTGGAGGGTCACAACGAAACAAGAACCCAAGTGTTTACCACCTTAATCCTTAAAGTCTGGAGATAAGTTGTTAGTCTATCCAAAGACTTAAAAAAACCCCAGTCATAACCCCTATAATTTAAGGAGCTTAATACTGAGACTGCTTAAACCAAACAGCAAGAAATGCAAAGGCTTCTTTAATCTCACGATGCTTAGTCTGCTGCATTTGCTGTTCTTGAGGATCAGTACTTTTTGGATAATAAACAACATTTTTGTTCACCAGGCTGCTGATGTAAAAGCCAAGAAAGTGTCACCCAGCATCAAAGATACCCTGATGGAGAACACTGCTAAAAAAACCCACACACAAATAAAAAGAGCAACACCACATAGTACATTCTGACCATTGGCTGTATTCCCAACCCTTCCCATCTCCAGAGTACCTAGAATACATTTCTAATTGTTCCTATGTGTGTCACACAAAGCTACTGCTAGGGGGGAAAGGAGGTCAAGTTCCTTTCACAACACAAAAGGCTAAAGAAGAAAATGAGGATTATTTTTGTAATGATGAGGCAATTCAGTCAGGGGTTTAGAGGCTGAAGGTTCTGTCAGCAAGAGTCAAATATAATTCAGAGGCAAAGAC